AAGGCAAATGCCCTATCCACTGTGCTATTGCTCCAGCCCCTATAGTGTTCATACTCAGAAAAAAACATCCAAGCTCAGACCTGAGAGAAGAGCCAGGCCCCAAACAAAACAATATTATGATCAGAAATGTTAGTAGATTTAGAAATAACTAAACATAAACACTTTTATTAGTTGCCAACAAAATTATTTTTATAAAATTCCCATTAGTTGTACCAGATATTGAATAATTACTTAAAGTAGGATTTGTAAATTACAAGGCTTTCAAAAACTGGACTAGAGAGATAGTAAACCCAATAGGGGAGTTTCTTTGCATGTGGCTGACCTGGATTCAACCTCAGTATCCCATATGGTTCCCAGAGTACTGCCAAAAGTAATTCCTGAGTTCAGAGCCAAGAGTCTTCCCTGAGCATCTCCTGGTGTGGTCAAACAAACAAACAAACAAACAAACTAGACTTTTGAAAAGCTAATAATCTGAAATATAAAAATTATTTTGAAAAGGATAAGGAATTATTTTATTCAAACACTGAAAGGTCATAATATTTTTAATAAATTATGTATAAATTATACATATGTATTTGAAAATACAACATATTAAAATCAACAAAATATCAATTTAAATATGTGAAGAAGAAAGCATTTGGGTTGTTATTTTGGCAAAGATTATTAGAATAATAAGATGCATTGACTTTAGTGTTGATGTATTTTCTAGTCTCCAAGGATATTATACCAAATCCTAAGTGAATTAGTTAACTTCTGTTTTGTAATATTTCTATATTTTGTTTTGCATTCATTAGTAACTTCAAAGAAGCATCACCAAGGGTAGGTGTGTGTTTATTTTTACCTTGATTGTTGGCCATAAAGCAACCTCACTTATAGCTGTGGAAGAACTCTTAAGAGATCTATTCTATTTTGATGTTGCTGAGTCAGATCATAACCATTTCAAGAATCAAAGAATATTACTGTTTTTTCTCGTTTTAGCATCCTCCTTTTTCTTCAGATTACTCAGAAAAATTTTAAAAAATTTAAACTTATACAGATATAAAAATATTTGCAACATGTAAATGCATTTATTTAAGTGAAATTTAAATGGGAGCATGATTTAATTATCTCCATGTTGCTGCTAATAATTATTATTTAATTTTAGGCCCATTAAGGATATGTGTGGATTAAAACAAAAAACTAAATCCTGAATGATATACCAAAAAAGTAAGTATTCAAATTTTTAAAATATTTTTTCTATCTTGAAAATGCACACACAGTCTCAAATATATATTTAAGTTTCATTTAAAATATCTTATCTTTCAAACATACATATTATTTTGTTTAGACAAAAATTAGCAAGTTTAAGCAAAAATGAGTAAGTCACACTTGTAATATATGATTATATCAGAATGTTCATGAAACATTTTTAAACATTTTAACAAGAAGGATAAAGGGGGTGGGGGGAGCTATATTATAAACTAATATCCAGTACAGCAGGGACATTGGATGCAGGTTAAAATTGGAAAGTAGGAGAAAATAAGTGCAAGATGGAAAGAAGGTGTATTGCAGGTGGGGATGGGAAGCCGAAATCCTTGACCTCAATTGAGCTATTGCAGGTGTTTGAAGTGTGGATCTGGAGAACAAGATGGTACAGTGACATTTAAGCCTGCCCTGTCCTTCCTTACCCCGGAATATGAATTCTCAGACACTCTAGGTTACTTGAGTACAAGGTTCTAGGATGCAATGCCCTCTTGGTGTATTCCCAGGTCACAGGGAATGCTCTGAGGAGCTCCCAGGCTATACCCTGCAATGCTCAGATACCATGAAATGATGGGAACTGAACCCAGGTTCAAATATGCTAGCCGTGTGCCCTCACTGTTATTTACCAGTTCTTCCCTCCTTCCCTCCTCTCCATTTCTCTTCTCCTCCTCCACTCTTCCCTCCCCTCTGCTCTCCTCTCCTATTTTTTCTTTCTTCCTTAATATCATGAAACATCCATTTTAGTCCTCTCTAACAATATCTGAAAAACAATTTCCATCCAAGACCATTCTGAAAAAATAATTCAAAAGCAATTGTTTATACCTGCTGCTTTCAAAATATACCATCCAAAATAAACCTAAATTTAATCTAACTTTATTACAAAGAAGTTTGTAGAATTAGTATCAGTAAAATGGAAAAAGCACCTCCATGCAATCATAAAGAACTTTTTGAAGCTCTTTGCTTTTTTTCTATGATTCCCTTTAAATGAAAAGTCCCATGCAATTGTGACTAGTAGAGTCTCAATTGAAGACAGTACTAGCACAGCGGGTAGGGTGTTTGCCTTGCATGTGGCTGACCCGGGTTCGATTCCTCCAACCCTCCTAGAGAGCCTGGCAAGCTACCGAGAGTATCCCACCCACACAGTAGAGCCTGGAAAACTCCCTGTGCCTTATGTGATATACCAAAAACAGTAACAACAAGTCTGAAAATGGAGACGTTACTGGTGCCTGCTCCATCAAATTGATGAACAAAGGGAGCAGAGTGCTACAGTGCTAGAGGCAGGGGGTATAATACGGGAGTTACAGCTCCTTTTGTATCTGATCCCTTGCACAAGATGGTCCCCACTCTGCAAGATCACTGGGTATGGCCCCATCTTGTTCCCAGCACTTCAGGGCCTGAGCAGCAACTTATATCCTTAGATCTCACATTGAACAGAGCCACAATGGTCAAGAATCTTTGGAAACAGTTCTTGACACTGAGCAGCCTTTGAGATATGAGTGTATGTGTGTGTGTGTGTATAAAAGATAATGAATTTGTGATATATATATATATTCATTACATATAATAATTTCATTATCTTTTTTTCAGTCATTGGGTTGTTTCCATAACTTGGTTACTATACTAAGTGCCATAATGAATATAGATGTGAAATATCTTTTTAAATAAAAAATTTTGCTTCTTGTGGGTAGATACCAAGCAGTTGAATGTTGTTCTATTATTAGTTTTTAAGGGATCTTCATAAAGTTTTTGAAAAGTGTTAAACTAGACAATATTTGCAAAAAAATGTTTAGATCTGTGACAAAGTTCAAGTTTCATTTTAGTTGTGTTCATTTTTTATACATATATACCTATGTATACAGTGCTTATTTTATTTATGTACATTTCATCATATGTTGATCATATTTAACTCTACTTGTGTGCATTGGTAACCACGATATACCCATTTTTTTATTTTTAGTATGCATTTTGTTTCCTTGTAATAGAGTTGGTAGGTTTTGTTGTTGCTATATAGATCTGAAAAATACTATTTGGATTTTGATAGCAATCGTGTCAATCAGTGTATTTTTTTAGATAAAATAGCATTTGAAAATGTTGTCTTCCAATTCATTAACAAAAGATATTTTTCATTTCTTTCTGTTTTTATATTTATTTTGGCAGTTTGTAGAGTTTCAGTATTCAAATACATCAGATATTATTATCTATGACAATGTTTTTAATTCTCTATATTACAGCATATTTGACCTGCTATTTTGACCTGCTATTACAGCATATTTACAGCAAATATTACAGCATATTTGACCTGCTAATTTGACCTGCTATTGCTTTGACAGTCTATCTATTAGTATCTCTGTACACTTATCTCTTGAAGCATTTTATCTTAAGGAGTAAAGTAATACCTACTTTTAAAACTTAGATTATACAACTGAATACTTTAAACCATGTTTAAATAGATAAAATATTTGTAGACTATAATCTCACCTCCATTGGAATTCCATGACTCCTATTGTAAGTACTATGTGAAAATGAAATCAGAAGAAAAGGAAATTGTTGGTTACTGGATTTTTGAGTTCTTATTCAAAGTGACTATGTATAGCCAGTGAATTTTAAGAATTGTTTCTAAATTGTTTTGTAGCTGTGTGTGTCTAGAGGACAATAGTTAGTGTAATTGAATGGTGTTATTTTCAGTTTCTGTCAGAATGTTCACTTTTAAATACCCTACAGAAGATCAGGGTGGCATTACAAACATAGTAAATTAGCTGGAGCAATGATAAAAAAGAATTATATATATATATATATATAAAGCACTATTAATGATAGGTGCTGGAGCGATAGCACAGTGGGTAGGGCACTACCCTTACAATTTTATTTTTTCCCTAACAATTTTCAGTGGAATTTTCTCTTGCTATTATACATAACAAACTGGCAAGCTACCGAATGTAACCTGCCCACACGGCAGAGTCTGGCAAACTCCCCGTGGTGTACACAATATGCCAAATACCAGTAACAATGATGGGTCTCATACTCCTAACTCTAAAAGAGCCTTGAATATGGCACTTTTTAAAAAATCTCAGGGCTAGGACGAAGGAGACGTTACTGGGGCCTGTTCGAGGCAATCAAAGAATAACAGGATGGTCGTGATCGTCTTGATCGTGATATTACAGCAAATAAAATAATTTTCTGATTTTTTTCCTTCTCCTTCACTGTTTACATATAGAAACAAAAGGGATTTTATATATTAATGTTGTAGACCTGAAAGCATTTTATTCACTATTTTTAATAATTTTGCTGAATACTTTGAAAGTTTCTTTGTATTTTAATATTATCTACACATATCAAAAGTTTTATTTTTTCTCTATAATTTGGATAACAATTTCTTCTCTATTTTTTTCCACAGGAATTCCTATATAATATTGTACGTTTATTATAATAGTAGGAATATTGTCCTGATTCCGATATCAAATCAAAAGTTTTCAGATTTCAAAGCTGAACCCAATGTTGACTATAGGTATGTCATAACTTGTACATAGTCTTTATCATTGAAGTTCTTTCTATATACATTTGCCAAGTGTTCTTTTTATAAAAAAAATTCGGGCTCCTTTCAAATACTTTTCAATAGACACATGAAAAAAGGCTTCTAATTTCATTTGTCTTTGGTTTTTGTATGTTTTCTATTTTATTAAAATTTGCTTTTCATTTCATTACATAAAGATTAACTCTAACATTTTACAGGTAGATTGGTTAAAGTATCAGTGGAAATAATGAAAAACCACACTGCAGTAACAACATTCATCTTGTTGGGACTAACAGAAGATCCACAGTTACAAGTTCTGGTTTTTATTTTCTTATTTCTTACTTACGTGTTGAGCATTACTGGAAATTTGACAATTATCATTCTTACTCTGACTGATTCCCATCTTAAAACGCCTATGTACTTTTTTCTTCGAAATTTCTCCTTCTTAGAAGTCTCCTTCACATCAGTCTGCATTCCCAGATTCCTGTATAGCTTATCAACTGGTGACAACACCATTACTTATAATGCTTGTGCCGGTCAAATATTTTTCATTGGACTTTTTGGGGCCACAGAATTTTTTCTTCTTGCAGCCATGTCATATGATCGCTATGTGGCCATCTGTAAACCCCTCCATTACATGACAATTATGAGCAATAGAGTTTGTTCCATCCTTGTTCTCTGCTGCTGGCTTTCTGGTTTGATAATTGTCATCACTCCACTTGGTATGGGCCTCCAACTTGATTTCTGTGACTCCAATGTTATTGATCATTTTGGCTGTGATGCATCTCCTCTTTTAAAAATTTCATGTTCAGATACTTGGTCGATAGAACAAATGGTTATAATTTGTGCAGTATTGACATTCATCATTACACTGATAGCTGTTACTCTTTCATACATATATATCATCAAGACCATTATCCGATTTCCTTCTGCTTCTCAAAGGAAAAAAGCTTTTTCCACCTGTTCATCCCACATGATTGTTGTCTCTATAACTTATGGTAGCTGTATTTTCATTTATGTCAAACCTTCAGCCAAAGAAGAGGTAGATATCAATAAGGGAGTATCTGTGCTCACTACATCAGTTGCCCCATTGTTGAACCCCTTCATTTATACTTTGAGGAATAAGCAAGTGAAACAAGCTTTCAATAACACAATTAAAAAAGTGTCATTCTTCTTATCCAAATAATAACATACACATTAGAACAATAAGATGAAAACTATTTTAAAACTTGACTTTTATTCTGGAAATATAGCTCAGTAAAAAAGCACTTGCCCTGCAAGCATGAAGCCTCAGGTAGGATCCCTGACACAGAAGACACACCATAAAAAAAATCCTTAACATTTGGGGAAAGTTATAATAGTTTACTTAGTTTAATCATATCATGATGCCCTGAATCTTAATTTATAAAAATGACTTGCATCAAATAACTTATTTTTTTCTTTAATCTCAGTCAAAATTTCTTCTCTTTGAAAAATCATGAAAATTTATTTTCAGAAAATAGAATTTTTCCATATCTCTCACTAGGATTATTTTAGGTAGAAGAGAGAGTACAAGGGGTTAAGACACTTATCTTGAATGTTGTGGGCACCTTTTATGATCCTCTGAGCACAGATCCTTTGCATTGCCAGGTTTATCCTTGCCCCTTCAAAAGATTTTATATTATTAAAATAAATTGGGTCGAAAAGATAACACAGCTTCGCTGGTGTGCAGTTGGTTGGGATTTGATAACCACCACTGAATATGGTATCCAAGCTACTTCATAAATGATCTCTGAACATGGAGTCAGGAATATGTCCTGAGTACAGTTGGGGATGTCTCTGCACACCCATACCCCCCCCCCAAAAAAAAAACCCAGAAGAATGAGAAAGAGAAGGAGAAGGAGAAAATGGAGAAGAAAGAGAAAAGGGAGAAGAAGGAGGATAAGAAAAAGGGAAGGAAGGAATAAAGAAATAAAGGGAGGGAGGGAGGAAGGGAGGGAAGGAGGATGGAAGGAAGGAAGATTTAATATAATATATGAACTCGTAATTTTGGATCATTTTAATATACTCTTGCGTTATACATGTAAATTTGCTGAAAGAAATATTCAAAGCGTAAGAATAAATGTTTCATCTTTGTTTAAATGCATTAATATGATTTTTGTATTTAATTTTATTTTAATGTGTTAAAATAAAAATGTATCAAAATAGGAAAATTAAATAAAATTAAAATGAATAAAAAATTTAAATACACGTAAATATAAAATATATACATGTGTATATATACATATATATGTAGATAGATAGATAGGTAGATAGGTAGATATAGATAGATGATAGATAGATAGATAGATAGATAGATAGATAGATAGATAGATATCCAAATCCTGGAAACTTTGGAAAAACCAGCTGAAGTAACATTAGGAGCAAGAAACACATTTTAGAGCTAGAGTCAGATAAGACTTATTTAAAGTAAAATCCATTAAACATTAATATTTATATATTTTTTTAAAATGAGGAGTTTTTGAGTCACAACCTTCAATAATCAGGGTTTACTTCTGGCTCTGTGCTCATGAGTCATTCGCAACATGCTTGGGGAACCGTATGCAGCACCACTAATCTAACTTGAGTCAGCAGCATATAAAGAAAGTGCCTTAACTCATGAATTGTCTCTTTGGTCATAAATAAATTTGTATTGGAACTTTTGTTTATATGCTATCTAAAGCATGCCAGAATTGAGTTTTTCTTCAACCAGTACTTCATGGCCTAAAAAGTAAAAAAGTTAACTATCTGAGCACTTATGGTAATGTTTCTGTCCTGTAGTGTGGATTTTACCTTTCCATCTCTTTTTTTCCCCCTTAATTTGGGAAGAAATAATAAAGAAGCCTATTAGACCACTATTCTTTTCATTTGCCAAGATTTGAGAGACCATTCTTAACTTAGTGTGTAGCTAAAAATAATTTAATTAGCCCACCCTATTTTTTCCGAAAGTACTTCAAAATAGAAATTTTAAAGATGAGAATTTGGTGATGAATCTATTTTATTCACCTACATCCACATTAACAAATTATGTTTAAATTATATCAATGTTTCAATAAACACAAGCAAACAAAAAATTTGGAATTCTCTTACTACTTTGGCACGCTTATAAATGTTAAAACCCACTTCAACCTTCCCTGCTTTTAAAATACTGTCTTGTTTATGTTTCGTTTTAATTGTGGGAGTTTAACCTGGCAGTTCTCAAGATTTCTTCTGCCTCTGTGCTAGAAATTATTCCTGGAAGTGCTTGGGGGAACTTGTGGTGTTGGGCATTGGAGCAGGGGCAGTCACAAGTAAGACAATCCCTGGACTATTTTTCCAGCCCCAGAGAAACATGGTCTGGTGAATTAACTGGTGCATTATCTGGTGTGTGTTATATATTTATGTTAAATCTTTTGGGCAGTAGATTTTATTATAAAAAAAGACTTACCTATGTGCTTATGCTTAAGTAAGAAAAACTCTCCTTTTACTTTTATCAATTGATAGTGCTTTATGTGTTTTGTTTTGTTTTGTTTTTTTTACCTTTATGCCACTTTAAGTGTGTTGGGGACTCTCTAAGGCAGGGACCTAGGAGGTCCAGGGACAGATTGCAGAGCCCAGGTAAGGGACATAGGTTAGATAGATCCTGCTGCCAATTTCAGATGAGGAAGAGACACTGAACAGAAAATGGCACAGGGAAAAGACCAAATCACAGAACACTAGTGACAGAAAGACAGAGGCCAGAACCAGGAGATCATCATCTAGATGACTTATCAAAGGATAGGCTGAGTGACCCCTTTTGTGGGTAAGATGGGAGAGCTGGACATTGGGGAAACACTTAAACCCATTTACTAAAATAGTTTAATTGCCAGCACCACATATGCCCCCTGAGCACTGTTGGGACTGAGTCCCAAGTGCTGAGTTATGAGTAAACCCTGATCACAGCCCAATGTGGGAAGGGAGGGGAGAGAAGGGGAGGACAGGGGAAAGGAGGGGAGGGGAAAAGGAGGGAAAGAGAAAGGGAGAGGGGAAGAAAGGGTAGTGACATGTTAATACTAATTTATATTTATTTATTTATTTTTTGCTTTTTTTTGGGTCACACCTGGGCGATGCACAGGGGTTCCTCCCGGCTCTGCACTCAGGAATTACCCCTGATGGTGCTCAGGGGACATATAGGATGCTGGGAATCAAACCTGGGTCGGCCGCATGCAAGGCAAACGCCCTACCCACTGTGCTATTGCTCCAGCCCCAAAAAAGTGGCATCTAATTTTAGCATTAGTTCTTCAAATCTTATCCTAGACAGACTTTCTAAGAAATAGGACATGAGAAGTCATACAGCAGGCAGGTAATTTCACTTGCATGTGGCCAACCAGGTTCAATCATGGGCACTTCATATGTTCCCGTGAGACCCTCTCTAAGTACAGAGACAGGAATAATCCCTGAGCACTACTGGTTGTGTTCCAAAAACAAAAATTCTAATAATGAATAGAAATGTTCTTAGTGAAATTTATTTCATCACTTTGAACTTTGAGGGCACTATATATTATTTAACTAAAGTTTAAATCTATTCTTAATTTAAAAATTATTAGAAATTTGTGGACCTTCACCTCTAGACATGATTGGCCTGGCATGGTGAGTATAACCGTAAGCTGTTGGTGTCACACTTAGCAGGGCTCAACATTTCTGTGATTGGAGGATATAATGACTTTCAAATTAATATACTCTTAATTGTTTTGCATACAATTACCAATTTTAACAAATGTAAAAAATTGGACAGTTTTATTATTTTACATCATGCCAATATTAACTGTGAAGATATTGGAGTTTTTAATACTTGCTGAGTCACTGTCACTGTCCTCCCATTGTTCATCGATTTGCTCAAGTGAGCACCAGTAATGTCTCACATGTTGTTACTATGTTTGGCATATTAAATACATCACGGATAGCTTGCCAGGCTTTGCCGTGTGGGCGGGATACTCTCAGTAGCTTGCTGGGCTCTCTGAGAGGGGCGGAGGTATCAAACTCGGGTTGGCCATGTTGGCTGCTTGCAAGGCAAATGTCCTACCGCTGTGCTATCGCTCCAGCCCACTTGCCGAGTGAACTCTTAGATATATTATTTTATTTCATGTCTTCTGAAGAAAATACAGAGGCATCATTCATATTATGAGATGAAAGTAGAACTGGAGAATTTTTCAAGTAAATTAAGGCAATTATTTCAGAATAAACAACTATTGTGTTTTATTTCATTATTAACTATTATAAATTATTTATGTGTTTTCTGTATTTGGGCTGGAGCGATAGCACAGCGGGTAGGGAGTTCGCCTTACAAGCGGCCAACATGGCCGACCCGAGTTCGATTCCTCTGCCCCTCTCGGAGAGCCTGGCAAGCTACCGAGAGTATTCGATATGCCAGACACAGTAACAACAAAGTCTCCAATGGAGACGTTACTGGGCCCGCTCGAGCAAATCGACGATCAACGGGAGGGCCTTTACCTTACCTTTACCTGTATTTGTAATCACATTCAGTAGGGATTATCTCTGTACACAGGAATCACTCTTAGTAGTGCTTAGGGAACCTAAACCAGGCATGTATCTCACATGCTGTACTATCCTCTTCAGCCCATTTTGGAAAAACATGTTTAAGACTATCCCCTTTCTCCATGCCCTCCTCCCATTATAGGAGTCTAGAATAAGTTCAATTCCGTCAAGTAATAAAAGAAAAGAACTTACGTAGCCACTGATTGAACAGCAATAATTATAGATTAAAACTGTCATATTCTAGTCGAACTGAAAAGCATATACAACCACAGGGAATATCAAAATTATAAATATTTCTCATTTGATTCTGGAAATCACTATGAATCTTTGGACAAGTGCAAATACTTTGGTCAAACCAAAAGGAAATGATGTGAAGAAACAAATTACTTTTATGACAAGATATGAATTTTGAAATGAGGTCACTGAAAATTATTAATAAAACAAAAGTGGACCTTCTAACATAAATTATATTTTAAAGGGTGATGAAGGTGTTACATGCAAAGATGATGCTGCAGATAATACTGAAATACTTCCTTGCACAAGGCTGACCTGGGTTTGAGTGCTCAGGGGTTCCTGAGCACAGCGTTAAAATTAAGCCCTGAGTACCACCAGGTGTGGCCCCAAACGTGAGAGGGACAGAGAGGGAGAGAAGGA